ACATCTCAAGAGAATCAAGTCATTGTCATTAAATCTTGGCAACTATAACTTTGAGCACAAAAGGTACAGCTCTAATCTCATTGGAGAAATTTGCTTCAACAGGCCACTCTCCCAGTTTCCCTCATGTACAAGTACACTTAGGGCATCAAGAACTTAAGCACTGCATAGCTGCCTTCCTACATGCACTTAGAATTCTTCAAGGTCTATAAGATTACCTTTTTCTCTAAAGGCCTCCCCCTAATGCCCCCCACAAAGTCTTGCTAAGTTGCTGAGACTGGCCTCAAACTTGTGATCCTCCTGCACCAGCCTCCTAAGAAGTTGGGGTTACAGGTATGCCCTACCACACACAACTAAAGGCTTCTTTCAAAATAAACGTTAACTTATATTTCAATAGCCAGGGTTGATGAACTATTCTTGCTTTATCTCAAACTGAATGCTTTCTATGTCAGGTTTACACAGCAGAGTATGTCTCCAATGAAAAGGAAGCGAGGCCTGCTTAGACAAAATAAGGATTCTTGAAGTTCAACTCCATAAATACATTTTAAACAACATTAGACCAATTCCCTAAGGATTTAAGCCCCTATTATATCCAAGACACTGATAATCTAGAAGGGAAGAAAGATTCCCATACAATCAAAGGTAACAGGAAAGAACAAAGCTTTGGGGCAGGATGCCCTGGCCAAGATATTTATTGGAGGTAATTTTGACTTTAAATAAGCCTGTAGGTAAAACCAGATGTGGCTCAATAGTGACTGGTACTATCTAACAAAATGAAAATCGTGGGGATCTACAGGGATGGGTTTAAAATGACACAAAGCTTCATAAATTTACTTAGAGCTTAAAAAAAGCAAAATGAATTTCCTGTAAGACAATGTTAAATGCATTAGGTCACAAAACACTTCCTCTAACATGACAATAGCTAATATGTACTATCATATGCCCGTAGCTGTTCTATGAGTATTCCATGTATGAAACTCATATAACTGATCACAATAATCCCATGAGGTATGCATTTTTTGTTATTCCATTTCACAGATAAGAAAACTGAAACAGAACACTGCTGTGAAGTTACATAGTCAGCAACAGAGCTGAGACCTTAAACAAAGCAGTGTGGTATGACTGTGGGGAACAACAGCCTTCATCATTACATAAGGCTTCCTAATACAAGTTGTGTGGTTACTAGAGATAAGCCTCACAGATAATTGCTTTGGCTTTATAGGACTAGTTTTCCCAGAATGGTGCTCTCCCATGACCCTCCATGCTAAAAACATTCAATATAGGCATAGTGGTGCACACCTGTAATTCCAGCAACTCTGGAGACTGAGGCAGAAGGATCCCAATTCAAAGCCAGCCTGAGCAACTGAGACCCTCAATAACTTGGTAAGATCTATATGCAGAAAAAAAAAAAAAAAAAAAAAAAAAAAGGGGAATGATATAGATCAGTGGTGAATCACCTATAAGTTCAATCTCTATTACAAAAATAAATAAATAAATAAATAAAATAAGTGCCAGCACATTATGTACACCCCTGCCTAGGTAATTTCAACCAGTCACCTCACTATAAACAACCTCTTCCTGAGCTAAGGGTGTAGCTCAGTGGTAGAGTGCTTGCTCAGTGGGCACCAGGCCCTGGGTTGGAGGGGAAAAAACAAAAAGCGGGTACCTGTTACATATGGGAAATAACAAACCCCAAAATAGTGTGGCCTAGGAAGAGGAAGAAGGCAACACATTGATCCTTTCCCAATACATTCTTTCCCAGTGTCAAAGAATGTATTGGGAAAGGAGATATCCATCAAGTCTAGAAAGACAGTTTCTGAAGGAGACCAAAGCATTGATTCTTCCCAAAATAAACCCTTTCCTAGATACTGATCACTCACCCCAGACCCTCCATCTAGCCTGAAAGAACTATCAGACAAGGCTGGTTGTCAGAGAAGTGCCCATTTATTGGGGAACAGCTCTGCATATTTATAGAGCCAGGGTGGTTTGACAGTTATGACAGTGTAACGCTATGACAGTTGGCACAGGGTGCTTTCTGATTGGTGGGTAAGGATCATGTGAGTCAGCAGGGCTCACCATTGGGGGGCTCTTGGCGGCGGTGGGGCGGGGCGGGGGGCTCCCAACATAGCTCAGTAAAAACAGTTCTCAATTTCCTGAGTGCCCAAACTCATTATCCAATGCTGATGGATTGAATTAACATTTTATTCCACAACAGAGAAGTTATTCTACAGTGTGAATAATTACCTGGTTAAATCAAGGTCGGTGACATAATTACTTTTAAATGACTTACTCTTTAAATACTGTATGTTTACATGTCCTTTCACAGGTCAATCCCTTCCACCCAGAGCTTTTGTTTCTTCGGTTCTAGGGACAGCAAAAAAACATTTTGATCAATAAAAAGCACATTGCTGTGGATAGTGAATTCCTTAAGGCTGCACTGAAGGCACAATAAGTTCACTGAATTCTTATTAAGCATGCTAAAAACAGAAACATTAAACTGGGTCTGTCCACAAAATACCAGTAGGTTGGTTGGAATTCATGTGCTCCTCCAGGCCCACTATTGTCCTATCATTCCAAAACAATAATACTTTAGCAATTAAAAAAAAAAACAAAAAACAACTGCGATAGTAAACGTGAATTCGACTGTACAGGAATGAAAAAAACACTAACACCTTAATATAGGTGCACAGTCAACACTGAAATAAAATGGGCCAGGTGCAGCGGTGCTTCAGAGGAGGAGGATTTGAACCAGAAGGTGGTTCAAAGCCAGCCTGGGCAACTTAGCGAGATCCCAAGCAACTGTCTCAAAATAAAATATTAAAAGGGCTAGGGGACTGGGGATATTGCTCAGTTGGTAGAGTGCTTACCTCTCATGCACAAGGCCCTGGTTTCAATCCCCAGCACCACAAAGAATAAAATAAAATGGCTAAGGATGTGGCTCAATGGTTAAGTATCCCTGGGTTCAACCCCCGTACCAAAAAACAACAAAAACAAACATGATTTGATACAAAAACGACAATCACTAAACAAACTCTGAGGCTGGTCCATTAAAATGCACCCCAAGCTCATATTCGTCATTTGCCTTTATTTTCAAGGTAGGTATTCAAAGTACTACTAATAAACTCTTGGCACAGAAATGATTCCCCGAAAGCTTGCTGCCAAACTCAGGACGCTAAGGACCTTTGCTTAGAGAATCCCGCGTCCCTGGAGACCACCTAAAGTGGGTATGCATTTTAAAATGCCTCGAGGAACTAACTATTAGCAAGGAATAATAGAGCATCTTCTGCACACACGCCTTCATAGGCCAACTGTAGATGCGTGCAGAGAAATTCTCTTCCAGGACGCTTTTGCTTAATAGGGCCGAGAAGGAGGGAAACCTAAACAGTAAAAACAAACAAACATACAACAACAACAACAACAAACCACAAAGGTTCTTCTTATCACTCCAACGACGCGACAGAATTAAAAGACATAATAAGCAGCACTCACAAACCCGCCTGACCAACCGCCTCACAGTTGAACAAAACGCGTTCCCGTCCTCGCCGGCCGCGACCTCTAAGGTTAAGCACATCGAAATTTAAGGAAAGCAAACACCGAGGCGGGGCCCTCCCGACGCCGGGCTGGGCCTGGGCTGCAGGGCAGGGCCGACCCACAGCAGCGGGCAACACCGAGTGCGGCGCGCAGCCCCGGGTGGCGGCCCGCGGGGCGCGCGCCCGGACGCCTAGGTACCGGGCGGTCCGACGCTCGGACCTCGCGCAGAACAAAAGCGCTGGGCCGCGGCGCACAGCTCAGCCCGCCGGCGCCTCGGGATCCCCCTGACCCCGCCCCGCCTGGGATCCCCGAAGAGGAGCCCGGGGCGGGGGTCCCGACCTCACACTTACCGAGAAGCGCTGAGGACAGCGTTCAAACCAAACCCAGAGAAGCGGGAGAACGCCCCCGGCCTCCCGGGACCCGGAGTTTAAGTCAAGTCGGGTCCGCCCCTAGGGGTGGGGCGAGGAGCGAGACTCGGGCTCCCAACAGTTGAGCCCCGCCCGGGCCGGCGGCAGCGCGTGCCTCGCCGCCGCGGTCCTAGTGCCGGGTAGATGAGCCTCCGCTACGCAAAGCTCAGCCAATAGCCTTAGGTTTGCCAAGCTCTTTCATTTGTTTGTTGGGATAACTCGAGCAGTCGGGTAACTTTAATTTGTGTCCGAATTGTTATAGAGGAATCGCGTGGAGCTGAAGCGACCATGTGATCCCCTGTGTGTACCAGCAGGAAAGATTGCAAACCAGACGCACAGAATAGCAAGCAAGAGTTTTTTAGCGGAAGCCTGCTATGGTGGTGATACGCCTTTAATCCCGACAACTCCAGAGGCTGAGTGTCTCATTGGGCAAAGGTGCGACTTATGCAGTTGAGGGGGAGAAATTAAAAAAAAGGTCCACCTGCTTCAGCGCTTTTCAATGTTTTATTCACTCACATTACTCAAAACAATTTCACTCTATAGGTTCTTAACCAAGAAAATGGCAATCCTTCATGCTGGGCACTACAAACACTGCAATAGGCACAATTAATTCAAAGCAAGCAATTCTAACTCTAAGGAATGCAAACACACTTAATCATAACAGACCTATTACAGATATTTCTTCTGCATGCTAAGCTTAAGTGGTCCTTGCTTAGCATCTGGATGGCCATTTTAAGGAAAAAATTTCGCTTTCTTACCCAGGGGTGTTTCTGAGAAAGGCTCATCACTCATACCAACCCAAGCCCTAACCTCCCACATTAGTACCTGCCCAGCTCTAATTCCTGAACCTGCCCCATAAAAGTCCCAGAACCCAAGCTTGTTTTGCCTCTCTCTTTGCAATAGACAGATGGCCTTTATTTGTCAACTCTGACAAATACACGCTCATGTGTATCTCTGCCTGATCTTCATCTTTCATTTCTCACTTACCCGTCTCTCCTTCCTCACTTTCCCTTCAAGTGCTAGATCTAAAGTCTTAAGGCTTAAGTCCAGCAGATGCACACTCACTCAGACTGCAGTGATCAAGTCTGGAACCGAATGAGGCTTCTCCTTGTGTGGAGTTGAAGACTGGTTGAGGAGATGGTGGTAAAGGGATGTGGCCCTTCTCTCCACAGTCAAGAGGCTGCTGTAGAGTTTGAGAGCAGTGAGGACAGATGGAGAGGATAAGGCAGATGAAGAGAGGAGTTGAGATGTCAGTCCAGGTCCTCATCAGGTTCTCAGGCCTGTGTGCATCAGTATCTGCTAGCTCAAATGTCTGTTCATTTGCTCCATTATTTATGCTAAATTTGGGAGCATCTGCACACCCCTTTGGTCCCTAGAGTCAGTACATATGGTCTGGTTGTTTCCACCCAGATATTACCCTTCTGACTCTTATCAGGTTTAAGGCAAATGACATGTTTATGTAAAGTGACTTCACTGATTCTTATCAGGGTTGTGGAAAGTGACTTGTTTTATCAGGCTATGCCTGATGACATTGGAGGGCTCTGTAGGCTTGTGCCTGGTGAGACTGCAGGTTTATTTTAAAATGGAGTTGCTTAGGCTAAGTCTATCCCTACACTGAGGCAGGAGAATTCCAAGTCCAATGCCACCCTCAGCAATTTAGCGAGGCCCTGACTCAAAATTAAAAATAAAAAAGATTTGGGATGTGGCTCAGTGGTTAAGCACCCAGGAAGGAAGGAAGGAAGGAAGAAATCAAAGTGAAAAGTAAGCACACCATAGGCCCTGAGCAGAAAAAGGCATGGCTCTTTAACTCTAGGTTTCCACAGAGTCTGTTTCCTCATACCCCACTGATCAACAAGTTATTTTTTGTCATTCTATACAGGCCCTTAGCAATTCTTTTTCTTTTCTCTCTCTCTCTCTCTCTCTCTCTCTCTGTGTGTGTGTGTGTGTGTGCTGGGGATTGAACCTATAGGACTATCACTGACCTTCCAGCCACTTTTCAATTTTTGAGACAGGGTCTGACCTTGAGTTTGCAACCCTCCTGTTTAAGCCTCCTAAATTGCTGGTATTACAGGTGTGTGCCTTTAGGGTAGGCAACAAGTTTTCTGTTATGGTGGTAATGACTGGGTCATAGGAGATAGTTCTGATATGGTTTTAAAATAATAGTTCCTTTAAGGGGCTATAATTAACTATGGCCTAGGGTGGTTTGAAACACCAGTTCCTTTTTTTTTTGGTGAATTTTAAGTGACCAGATGCTTGTCTTTTTGTTCCGATTTTCTGTTTTAATCAGTCCTGTTATCTATGTACTTGGTCTCTGATGTACACACTTGATATCTTCCATAAAAGTTTTTTCCTTATTGTCCCTCTTGCCACTGGCTCATAACTAACTACCTACTTAATAAAGAATTAACACGAATTATTTGGAGAGCTTATTAAAAAGAGATGAAGGGCCAGGCATAATGGTGCACACCTGTAATCCCTAGCGGCTCTGGAGGCTGAGACAGGAGGATCCTGAAGTTCAAAGTCAGCCTCAGCAACTTAGTAAGGGCCTAAGCAACTCAGCAAGACCCTGTCTCTAAATAAAATATTAAAAAAAAAAAAAAAAAAAAAAGGCTGAGGATGTGGCTCAGTGGTTAAGTGCCCTTGGATTCAATCAATCCTTCACACCAAAAAAAAAAAAAAAAAGATATGAAGGGTTGAGCATACCACCAACTGGAGAAGCTGAGGAAGGAAGAGCTCAATTTCAAGGCCGGCTTCAGAAACTTAGTGAGACTCTGGCTCCAAAAATAAAAAGGGCTGGGAATATAGGTCAGTGATAAAGCACTCTGGGTTCAATTCCTTGGTAAAGAAAAAAAAAAAATGGGGGAGAGAATTGAAGTAGGCCATCTGCAAAATCGCTGACTCAGTAATTTGGAGTAGGGCTAAAGATTTTTATTTATAACAAGTTGCATTTCTGACATTTGCAATTCTATAAAGAGGGACAGTTGCTGCTGGCCTCAGAACTGTTGATCTAGAGTAGGAAACAGCTAGCATTTTCTATAAAGTATGTGAAAGAAAGTATACAAAGAGATACATAAGGGGACAGTATTAGATATGGAAAATGACAAACCCCCAAATAGTGAGGCCTGGGAAAAGTGAGTGAAAAAGAAAGCCATACATTAATAGCTTTCATCTCTCCTAAAATAAATCCTTTCCAGATGCTGGCCACAAGCAGGGAGAAGGTGTTTCATCAAACCTAAAAATGATATTCTCTGGGAAGCATTAATCACTCCTAAAATAAATCCTTTCAAGATGCTGATCACAAACCACCCCCCATCCAAAAATTCAAATTTCTGAGTGCTCAAAGGGACACATTCATTAATTGATAAAACAGATCCCAAATTCCCAAGTGCCCAAACTGACAAGCTCACTAAATCACCTCTCAGTCCCCTCCTTTGTTCAGTGGCTCATTCCACCAGGAGAGTGGGTCCAACAGCATCACCTCATCCCTGCTATTAGATATGGAAAATGATAAACCCCAGAAGTAGTGAGATGGGGGGGGAGTGAGAAGAGAAGCCATAGATTGAGAGCAGTGATCCTTTCCCAATACATTCTTTCCTGGTGGTAAAACAAACCCTGGGGAAGAGGTTTCCATCAAACCTGGAAAGGCAGGGAAGAGGCCAAAGCATTAATCCTTCTGGAAACAAATCCTTTCCAGATACCAACCACTGACCCCAGGCTCTCCATCAGATCCAGTAAGATAAATCCCAGAAACTGACCACTGACCCTAGACTCCCTCCCATTTTGTCCCATAAAACAGACCTCACATTCCTAAGCACTAAAACTGACCCCTTCACTGATTGATAGAACCAACTCCAAATTCCTGGGCGCCCAAAGAAAATTGATGTGCTCACTAGACCACCTCTCAGAATAATCTATATAATCCCAGGGCCTTTCTTTGTTCTGGGGCTCATTTTTCCACCAGGAAAGTGAGTTCCACTATGATGTCTTTTCGTCCCTGTATCCCCTGCTCCTGTGTGAAACTTCATTCTAATAAAAAGCTGAACTGATTCGTGAAGTGTGCGTCCAGCCTGGTCTTTTTTGTTCTAAGAGGGGTTTTGGGTTTTTGTTTTTTTAGGCTATTACTGTAGGGAGAACATCCATTATGCAGGGGAATCTTGAAGAAAATTGACCTGGGATTTTTATAAAGGAAGCAATCAGAATCCTGTTTAAGGAAGGAGAGCAACAGAAGTCGTTAGTTCTTGTCTCTACAACGCTGTAACTAAACAAACTGGGGATCTTGTGTGTGGGGGGGGACCGTCATTTCATCTCACTGATTACTTTTCTCATCTATAAAGTGGGGTTAACAAGTCTCAGGATTTTTAGATAGTTATATGAATTAATACGCAATCCTCATTTAGAACAACTCCTCTAAGGGTGCCACACTTGGTTTAGATATGGGATTTCTAGGGCCTAACCACACAAGTCAACAGGTAAAAACAAGGGGCTGGGGATGTGGCTTAAGTGGTAGCGTGCTCGCCTGGCATGCATGCGGCCCAGGTTCAATCCTCAGCACCACATACAAAACAAAGATGTTGTATCCGCCGATAACTAAAAAATAAATATTAAAATTCTCTCTCTCTCTCCTCTCTCTTAAAAAAAAAAGTAAAAACAAATTTTAAGGGAGAGTGTTGTTGCCAGAAAAATCTGGCACACAGCCTAAGGAATGCTAAAGGCCCAGCAAAGTTCAATACCTGGGAGTTACAACTCCTTTTGGGCCTAGGTTGCTGCTCTCTCTGCCATGTGTCCTTGACAGACTCCCAGTGAATCTGGGACTCTGCTGAAATTGAGCACAACTTCCTTGCACTGAGAGTAAAGGCTGAAGAACTGCCCCAACCTGGCCTGGGACATGCCCAGGAAGCTAAGAATGTAAATTGACTCCCTCCCACTCACCAAGCCTGGCTAACTAAATCTGCATATGTATATCACCTGGCTTTGTTGTTGTTGTTGTTGTTGTTGTTTTAAATATTTTTTAGTTGTAGTTGGACACAATACCTTTATTATTTTTTAAACATAGAATTTTTTAAAATCTTTTTTTGTTTGTTTTTTTTAGTTGTAGTTGGATGCGATACTTTTATTTTATTTATTTATTTTTATGTGGTGCTGAGGATTGAACCCAGGGTCTTGCACATGCTAGGCAAGGGCTCTACTGCTGAGCCCTAACCCCAGCCCCATGATACCTTTATTTTACTTATTTTTATGTGGTGCTGAGTGTTAGGTCGGTGATGGCGACTTGCTGGCGACTTATTGGCAACTTAGAACAAAGCAGACCGCGCCGGAAAAGAACATCAATCAGATGCCGGCAGAAATGCCTGTCAATCAGCCAGATCTCTTGACTAACGCCTGTCAATCAGCAGGACCCCCTGGCCAATCCTGGAGTTCAGCCAACTCCCCTGACCAACTCCAAGGGGGCAAGGGACCCTAGAAACACCTTTTCCTGTCCTGAACCCTTCCCTTCCTGCTGTAAGCCCCATAAAAGTCCAGTCCGATCAAGCTTCCATGTGGTTTCTCCTCAGACTCTTCCCCTGTCCTCTCTGTGGGTCTGAGTTCCGCCCAGGAGTGATATCTCAATAAAGCCTGTTCAGCAGCCCTTTTAAATCTGCCTCCTTTGGTCTGCCTCACCTGATCTGACACTGAGGATCGAATCCAGGGCCGTGCACAGGCTAGGTGAGTGCTCTACCACTGAGCCACAATCCCAGCCCCCTGGCTTTGTTTTTATAAATTCTTTTTATTTCTATAGGACCCACCAGAGAAGCAACTTATCTGTTTCTCCCCAGTTTAATCAACTGCATGAAATACATTTTTCCTTTTCCCATCTTTTGATCATTATGTGGGGCAGGTGGCCAAATCCAGTCAGAAAGATTTGCTCCTGTTAACAGGCACCTGTGGTGACATTCCTCTTTTCTTCAGCTAAGTAAAGTTTGATTTCCAAGTGTTTGGTCTTTGCACCAATCCTGAAGTGTAAGGGACATTCACCAATATAAAACCCCTACAGGATCACCAGCTAGGAGACAAAAAGGAAGAACACAGCTTGGCCTGGTGGTGCATGCCCTAATCCCAGCAGCTCAGGACGATCACAGATTCAAAACCAGAATCAGTGATTTAGCAAGGCCCAGAGCAACTAAGCAAGACCCTGTTTGTTTAAAAAAACAAACAAAGAGCTGGGGATGTGGCTCAGTGGCTAATGGCTCCTCTTTTCAATCCCTCAGTACCAAAAAAAAAAAAAAAAAAAAAGGAAAGAAAGAAAGGAAGAAGTAATCTCTCTTTTTTTTTCTTTTTTCTTTTTATTGGTTGTTCAAAACATTACAAAGCTCTTGACATATGGAAGAAGTAATCTCATGAACCAGAAAGTATGTTTA